CAGCATAACAATCAATATGTACTTTCCTTCCAGCAATTGAAATTAATTTGAAATTTTTCATATATTTTCTCTGATATTGAGTTTTGTTTACTAATAATTTACCATCCAAGGAATTTGCATGAATTGCATGTTAAGTAGTTAGTTGATTTATTATTGTATATTGTGAGCTGATTTGGAACTAGTGCACTATGCCCACCTTAAATTAAACCGTCTCAGTAGTTTACCGTAATTAATAATCTTGCTGGAATCTTGCTGGCTAAAGTTGCTGGAATTCTATCAGCGTAGCGATTCATAGAGAAGGTAATTTCGCAATTAAAATCATGCTAGCATGTGCTCTCCTTTTTCTCGCACGGTGACATCGTCACTTGAGAAATTTGCGAACCAAGATTCCAGGTCGTTTGATTAATTTTGAGCGATCAGATCTAGCGACGAAGAAATTTCACAAATTTTCAAAACAGACGTACTTTTTCAGTGGATCCCAGAAAATAATCCCAGAAATATAATATTTACACGTGTGCATAGTAATTATTTTTAAAATACAATTTATTTGAACAAGACAGAATTTTTTAGAACGACTAAATAAATTTTTAGTATCCAATGGAGCTTACTTTAGGAAAGGAAGTATCTGTTCTGAATACAAACCAATTTAGAAAATTTCGTGGTCTTGCAGCACAAAAGGATCTCCCGCAAAACAATAAACTACCTCATTCGTTTGTGCAAATTTTTGCAATAATCTGAGAAAGCTAGGGAAATCAAGAAATTTAAGAAAGCTTATTCTGGTACATAGTTCTTCGAACTTTCGTTGAAGAAATATCACCATGCAATGTAACTTCAGGGGAAAGTTCGAAGGAGAATTTCAACGAGAATCTCGAAGCTGACGCTTCTGCTTCGATGAAGATGTAACATCGCGCGGGAAAAACTCGATAAGCGTATCATATTCTGGTAAATAGGTCATATAGACATTTCTAAAGGATCGATCGGTAATCGTGCTCTAACCGGGATTCCTTTTTACGATGTCCTTACGAGCAACAAAGTCATTCGCTTGCTTATCCTGCGACCTTTCGATGGATAATGTATTAAAAAATTTCACAGCACTACGATGATTCAAGCTTCACTCGATTTTATACCATCCTTCGTTTCAAACTTCATTTTAGATCGTTCGAAACCATGACTTCCCTTAAATCAAGGGATTACCAAGTAATTGTTCATTTCTGTTATAAAAAGTTTCATTCGTTGATCGTTAAACTGAGAAGAAGGTTTTTGTAGTACAATTTCTTTTACAATTAACGTTCGTTTTTATACTAGATATGTAAACAGGGGAGGCTATAGTGTTAGGGTAATTTCGGGAGAGACGGACCAGGCAAGTATTTCCTACGTTATCCGCCAGATATGGAAGAAAAACCACTGAGAGCCACGCTCGATCGCTTTCCGTAAAACAAATGTAAAACAAAAGAATACTGACGCGTTCCACATATGGCGGATAATGTAGGAAATACTTGCCTGGAAGAAAAACCACTGAGAGCCACGCTCGATCGCTTTCCGTAAAACAAATGTAAAACAAAAGAATACTGACGCGTTCCACATATGGCGGATAACGTAGGAAATACTTGCCTGGTCCGTCTCTCCCGGAATTACCCTATGCAAACTACAGGTATAAATTGTGATATCGCAACATTTCCAATTTTTGTAAATAGAAAATATATTTCTATATAGGTTCAAATTAAATATTGCAATAAAAATAGGAAAGTTGAAGTTTAGAAATATATCGAACGAATTTCTCCGTAGATAGCTGGAAAAAATATTTTCAAAATGTCTGAAGATAAGAAGGGGGATAATTTTCATAATTTTTACTTGAAAGATAAGACTAGTTTAAAATGGCTAAAATAGCGTGTAGGAGTGCAGAATGTAGCAAAGAATTTTTAGATGAAGCTAAAAGATCTCGGCTGACAAATTATGGTTCGTTTGCAGATCGTTGCTACGTCACATTATCGTTTATTTCATTCCTCGCTGACGTCACTTTAAAGGTACAGGATAGTAAGCGATTAGATAAGTTTATGGTAATAAAAGAGTACATTAATTAAGTTCTTCCAGGAAAATCCAAGACAGTTCTATAGTACTGACATAATGGTATTACAAAAAGAAAATAAGAAAAAGTTGTGGAATTAGAAGGCACTTATGTTTCTGTTTTTTTTAATGAAATTTAAAAGTTCGTTGGAAAAATTGATCTAAATTACAAAATTCGAGACGAACTTATCGGATAACCTAATATCTCTGATATCATATGCACTGAAACATCTGTTGACGTATAGTTACAATGATATAGTAACTCCATGTAACAGATATTGCACAGCGTAATATAATATTCACGGTATTGTTTGTTATAAAGCGAAAGAAACTGATACTTCAATATCATATTCACTTTCAAATTAAGACAAGAAATGCGAAATATTAAACGATACAAAGAAACGAACACTTTCGAATGAATTCACAGGAGTAATTAATTTCATTTACCATGAAGAAATATCTCTCGACTACAACGATGTGAATTAAAAAAATAATTGAAAAATATAGAATAATATTGCAATTCGTTATTTAGCGAAATCTCATCTTTTGGTAAAATTGAAGTGTTAACAATTTGCCATCTATTTCTTCGCTATAAAGTAACAATTGAAATTTTCTAGTACAAAGAATGTTACTTCTAATTTTTCTATTTTTTATATAATTTCAAGTAACATCTATCAATGTTCAAATGATAATTTCAAACAACGACCTTGGATCATTTCCGCGAAATAACATGCAAAGATGAAAAGAAACACATTATGCAAACATGACAGTGAGCTTTTTATGTAGTTACAGATGCGATAGCATTGACGTAGATTATTGAAAAGAATCTAAAAACGCAGTGTATAAATTAATTTACTCGTTTGTAACAGGTATTTGCCGATGAACTAAAAGGTACTCTACATCGAGGACTTGATACACTTTTCAGCATGATCTTCCTTTACATAAGTGTCTTGTTTGTTGTAGCCACGCCACTGTTGACAGGTATGTTCTCCAAAAATCTCGTTTGTATTCATAAATAGAGAGCAGTATTTGAAATTACACTTTGGACATATTGGATCTTCGCTGTGTCATTTGTCTAGAAAAACGTAATACGATTAGTACAGATTTACACGATTTGGTAAACTTCAAATCCTCGAAAATTTGTTTAGTTACACGTTTACTGAGAGTATCAACCCTTTCGCTGCGTCACGCTTCAGACAAAATTGTTGTTATTCAACGGTGGTGTAAAAATGAAGATACATAATTGAAAATCAACGCGACAGTCACCTGACTTTCAATCGACATCGATATCTTATTTACGAAGTGTGAAAATAAACGTAACAAACTGAATGCATCGAACGAACGTGTAGCGAAAGGGTTAAAGAAAATTGAATTTTACGTTTTTATCGACTCTACTATGTGTAACGTAATTGATATTATGTTTGTAATTAATATAAGAAATACCGAGCTGTCTTTTATCGTGTAAATAAGATGATGTTTTCATTTGACTGAATTACAAAATTTGGTGTAAATATAATTATTAGCTGTATTCATTGTTAATAATATTTCGAATGAAATTTGTTCGCAGATGCTACGTATAGCGCAACTGATAGCATGTTCTTGCGTTTGTATATAAAGTAACTATTTTTCTGCAATAATACAAGCAATTTTTAATTCATCTTTTATACATGCTTTGACACGATTGCGTTTATTTTCATTTTTACCGTAATTCGTTTCAAGCTCACCGTTCCCTTTCAGGAACAGCTCTTTCCTCGACGTGAACATACGAAATGCAGAACAGTTGGTGTCTCGTTTGAAAAGCAACGAAACGTTGGTAATGTACATTCATGGTTTTACAGAATCGGCGGACTCTGAAGGCGCTACGTTGGTATCGGAAGGTAAGTTACGAGTTGACATTGAAGATTTAAATACTTCGTCCCTAATATACTCGAATTTTATAAATAAATCTGTTAGAAAGAAAGATCAATTTTATACAAAATAAACTGTGTTCCTCTGTATGCAGTTTTCAAGTATTCGTTAAAATTGTGTTGAAATTATCGATTGAACTGTATGTGAAAATTTTAACGGTGTTATTAATTTCGTTGACGAAACTGCGGTTTAGTTAGAGTTGCGATATATCTGAATTCCGTGTCTTGGAAAGTTGAGGATCTCCTAGTAGGGAACGCTCGGTAATTCGTCCTTTAAAACAGTAATTTATACCTTCAGAAATTCATCCCTTTCAATCTGATGCGAGGATGTTCCGTGCAATGTAAATTAAGGATAATTAATTTCGAGCACAGAGAGAGATTAATCTTTTTCTGAAATTGATGCAGCGTATTTGGCGAACACGAAACACAATATACTTGCAGTCGATTACCGAAAGGCTGCTGCTTTGAGCTATCTAAGCTGCATTTCATTAATCGAGGATATCGCTAAGAACGTAGCTGATGCTTTAAACGCTATAGTGTTTTCTGATGTGAAAGTTACAAATACACATCTTATTGGACACTCGTTGGGCAGTCATATTGCTGGATCTGTGGCACGTCATACAAATTTCAGAGTTTCCAGGATAACAGGTATTTATTTGCAATTTTTCTTCTGACCTTTCGAAATGATGTTAAATAAGATTTAGCTAAAAGAAACAGTAACTCGTTAAATAGATACCAACGAGAAGTACAACCTTTTCTTGTGTAGAAAATTTATTTAAGTTTGTTCATCGAGATAGAAAGACGGAAATCTCCTCAATTTCGAAGTTTAATTAGCGACCTTCGATACTTCCGAGTATATGAGTCTAACGAGAATCTCTTTTTCAGGCTTGGATCCTGCAGGACCGTTTTTCTACTTGCTCAACCCTCGTTTGACTGCGGGCGACGCCGATTTCGTCGATATTATACACACTGATATGGGTATTTACGGGTTAGCTTTGTCAATAGGGCACGTGGACTTCTTTCCGAATTTTGGTATCAGAGCACAGCCTGGTTGCTGGTTGATTGGGGCGATACTGGGAAAGAGAGGTTCGTTTCTTTTTAATTCTGCATTTTGTAATCCAATAAAGGATACATTGTTAATATATTTCCTTGTTGAATACATTTTTGTAATTATTAATATATATTCATATACAAAGCAGTGAAAGTAATTCGTGTTTTACCATAGTACAGTCTTGGTTACCATTTGCGTTTAACAATGACAGATTCGTTTCCAAATTTCTGTTAATAATTGTACCAATATATGATCATTTTTCTTTCCTCTTTTTTAAACTGAAAAAAAATGAGAAGCGTAATTTCGAAGCAACCTAAATTTAAAAAATTAAATTAGGAGTTTCGATGATTTTGAAAAAATTCTCCTTGCAGTTCCATCTTACGTTCAAATAATTTTTATTACAAAAAATATCATTGTTTTTGAAGATCGATTCATTTTTGGATTTGAAATATTGCGAATGGTTGATATTCCAAAAGTATATATTTATAAAATCTCAGCTACTTTTGTAGGTATCACTTGTGCGATAGCAGACATTTATTTGTACTTACAGTTCCATTCGTTTTTCCAAGCGATTTAAGATCGTTAATCCAATTCTTCTCCCTGGAAACGGTGGTGCTGGAATTGTTTCCTAAATTGCACAAGGAAATAGCATAGTACGTTTCCCGGCGGTATTATTAACATTTTCGGTCGGTTATCTGGGAAAGGAAGTAGGATACGATATTGTATTGCTGGATAAAACGAAGGGAAAGTCGATGTCACGAGCACTTTTCTCTTCCCTTATCGTTGAGGATTTATTGATTTTTCTCTGAACATGTTGTAGATTTATGCAGTCATGGTAGATCCTACAAATTCTACGTGGAATCTGTTACAAGTAATAATTTCATAGGTATGAAGTGTTCAAGTATATTTGACATGTTCTCAGGAATATGTAACCAGCATGAAACTGCTGTCATGGGTTATGGCACACCAACCGATACGTTAGTACAATTTTTCATAATTTTCATCCATGGAACTTGGTTTTTTATATACAAGGTGGGACAGGAAATACAGCCCACCTAATTTAAATGGTTTCAAAGGGTGAATAAGATGAAAGACAAATTTTCTTCCATTTTCATCAAATATATATATTTTTTCTACTATTCAAACATGCATAATAAATGATCTTGGACTTCAAAATTTTAAATCTAATATGAATCTTTCTTTCATTTTTCTTTTTTTTTTTTTTTCGATGACAAAATATTTCTTCTATCTTGTTCGCCATTTTTCATACTACCCTCGGCAGAGAAGATAATCTGGTGGCCTGTTTCACGCAGCCCACCCTGTATATTCATAAGCAGGTTTTATGAAGAGCAGTAAGGGAGAGAATATGAACATTTCGTTACTTCATTCTTAAACTTATAGTTTTTTTCTATTAATAATATATCGTTCTTGTGACTTTACAGAAGGGGCGATTATTTTCTCAAAACAAATGAAGTAAGACCTTACGCGCGAGGATTAAGTGGAATACACAATGGTTACGAACGATAGGATCGATAGATCTTTCTCGTACTAATCGTGTAAGCTATAAAATAAATGGCTAAATAGATTTCCTTTATCGGATCATGTCACCTGTATATTTCGCGAATTATGGTAACCTTTTACCTATCACAGTGTGTATTATCTACGAAAATTCCTCTATTTTCAACGACTGCACTCCCAGAACTTACAAGCTCATTTACGTTAATACCTGATTGACGTCAAAATTCACTAAGTCGACTTTGAACTTCGTTATAATCCTTTACGAGACCATTGTTTAAATATCTATTGTATTTGTATTGTATTGTATTGTATTCTATTGTATTGTATTCGTAATTCGATATTCATTGTCCTCCAGACTCTATCTGTTATAATTCTCGAGTATCAAAGAAATTCTTGCTCTTATAACTGTTCGTGCCTTTCAAAGAGAAGAAAGACGTCCTCGTAAATGGTCACAAATCACTCTCAGATATTACACGGCAAGTATTTCGCAAGAAAATTCGAAATGTACTCGTCAGGGAAGTAAGTTTTCAAGATCTCGAATATGGTATTTTCCAGATGGAAGGGAGAGATCGAGTAAAATCTACGAAATGTTTATTTTCACAGCCAATTTTGCAAAGCGTCACTTTATGGCCACTTCTGTAGGATGTTTTCGACGTAAGCACTATTTCCCCTAAAATAGTTTCCAATTTGATCTGATTTATCTGCGAGAACACGTCTCTCAGAGTTTCGTCAGAACGTTCCTCTTATGGTTGTATTTTTCTTTCGTTTACTACGAACGCGATATCTCTACATGCATATCGTGTCAGTGAGAAACTGATTCATTTCGCGTCTTAACAAAATAAAAAATATTCGTACAGCAAACGTGACGTGAATTTATATGCATGAAAAATTCCTCGTATTTCGTAGGAAAATGGTACTCCATTGCTGGTTGTATTTTAAAAACAGAGGAAGATGGAGATTCGTAGCTGTTAATCACGAAGAGAGATAATAAAATTAGAATTAAAAAAAGATCAAATGAAAAATAAACTTTTCCAGATGAAACTACTGTTTCAAGATCGTTCATTTCAGCATTTTGGGTTACAACTTACGAGATTTCTGGAGGAGAGACCTGTAGGTCTACGGGTTCTTTTTTGGTAAATCCAACATGTTCAGAATTCTTCTCTCGGAAAGTTACAAACGATAATTCTTACCAGTATTGAACATGCACGTTTTTTCGAAAGATGCTAATGGGTCATTTTTGACCCGGTCGGTAATTCTAGTGTTGTTAAACGATAGGTACACGGAATACGCCAAAATTTTCAAAGCGGCTATAGGCGTCAATAGCAACGAAAAGGTTAATGTTATCGTTACTTTACGACTTATACTTGACTGTTCCTTTTTTCCTTGGCTTTAATATCAGGTTGTTCAATGCCTGACCATTATCGTGTTTAATTTGGATAACCGAAGCGTAGAACTGAATTGCTTCGGAATTATCACTGTACCGCGAGGACACATTGTGCGGTTGGTAAACGCAGATAAGAGACTAAAAGAGTGCGCTGTTTATTTTTCACCGAGTCGATTCTCAAATTGCTCCGTTCTTCTTGCGTGGAATACGCGATGGAAATTTACTTTCAACCTGTGCAATGAATCGGTCGCATTCCGTGGCTATTGTACGATAGACATTATACGAAACGATAGTAAACATAGATTACTTTTACGAGTTGTTAATGGTATTTTAATCGTTCGGTGGGGAAATATCGCGTGCATTGTACGACGAGTAAGTTAAGCTACCTTTCAACCGAATTGCTACAGTTTTCATCGAATAAAAGTAAAATATGGGTAAACACGGATTATTCTGATAGGAGACAATTTTAGGAATTCGAGTGTGAAGGTTATTTTTTTTTTAATCATCGTTAAATAGAATAACGCATATGTATTATAGCATGAATGTTCTTTTTGTGATTCAGTCCGTTCTTTTTTATCATACTAATTTACGGTTGTGTTAGTTTGAAGTTTTTTTTTAAATTTATACACACACAAATTTTGTTTTTACTTTTGCTGTTTATTAATTTTATTTTGAGGATCATTTTCTTATATTCTACGATAAAAATGGAAATTGTTCAACTAGTAGTTAAAAAATTTCACCATTCGTTCTTGTTTATCATTTGTCGTTAATTTTTTACGACTTTCTGAATTATCGCAGGAAACACGAATAATAAACACAACGTTTAATATATTTGCAGCATACATTAGAAATTTTGTTTCGTTTAATTGATCCATAATATAGTACAATTCTGGGAACAAATTATTCCAATTTTATTATCTTACTATTTACACGGAGAAGTGAAGATAAAATGATAAGTTACTTCGTACTTTATTTTTTGTGTCTTATTTGATATTTCATTTGAACTTTTAAAAATCCTACATCGTTAATTTCTCGGAATAGGCGAATATAAACATTTGCTATAAAAATATATACAGAAAATATGTGAAATTCAGATTAAACGTTAAATATACCTGTATAAAGGACATAAACGTTTTTATACTCAATCATCACTAAATAATATTGTCAACAATTCTAATGTAAAACGTAGCGAAGTGCAATCATTGAGGAGGAGATTATAACTGAAGTTTACTCCTGTCATCTTCGACAATTCTCCGTTTCTCACTGGAAAAGTGTAAAGAAAAAGCTGAATGTCAAATAAAATATAACAATATGTTCACATAAAGTATGTATTGAACTACACAATTTTGTTCCAGCAATAATATTTCCTTTAAAAAAAAATTGCAATTAAATCCTTAAAAAAGTAAAATCACGTTTCTACGTTAAATTCAAATATTCCTCTCTGCTACGATCTAAAGGTATATACAATTTTGATGGATTTACACGTTCGAAATTAAAATTCCTTCGTAATTTCCTTAAAATTTTCTTCTTTCCTTCACAGAATTTCTGCACCGTTTAAGCTTTACTCCCTATTTTGACATTTATTCGTTTAACACGTAA